TCTCCTAGTTTTCCTTTTTAAAAAGCTTATTTTAAAAAGTACAAAACTTTGTTCACGGGGCACCTGGAGTGTCACACGCCACCTTGATTTTGCTCCCCCCTTGCAGATCTGCGCCCAGAGTGCTTTTGAGTTCTTAGCAATGCTCCTTCGTGGATATTCAGGGAGACCTGTCCATCCTGCGTTTGTTGGGAGCAGCAGCCCTCCAGGGTTCCCAGGCAGAGCGGGGCGTCCTTCTCACCATCTCCTGCCTGATCCTTAAAAAGGAAAAGAACAAGGGGGAGCTGCCAGGCTTGGATCTGTCTCCTTCTGCACTCGGAGCATGCACTCTTTGCTGTGCTGGAGGTGGGAGACCTCCTGCCTGTCCCTTTAAAAGCCCCTGCCTGCTGCAGAAGGAGTTAATAATATTGGCTTTGTCTGCGAACTGGCTGAGGATTGTTCCCTGTAGACTGCGTGCTGGAACAGTTTCCTGAGGCCGCAGGGAGCTGGGCTGGGGCCAAGAGCCAGCATGCTGAGCCCGGCTGCTCACACCATACAAGGAGGTCTGATGAGGAGAGGAGGCTTACTTCCTGCTGATGGGTTGGTGAGTGAGGGCTGGAGGAGATGAGATACCAGCCTTTCTTCCCGCCTCCACTGTCTCCTCCTCACCTGCAAAAACAGAAAACGGAAAATTCTGGAAGAGACCGGGAAGCGAAACTCACCATGGTAAGTAAGATCTTGTAAGCTTTGCTGCCCGGAGTTTGTGTTGCTCAGAAAGCAAAACCATTCCAGGGGTGGCTCCTAGTGCATGCTTTCACCATCGCCTCCTTCCGCCTGCAGGCCCAAAGAAAATTCCTCTCGTTCTTCTGGAGCTGCAATCTGGCACTCCAGTTTACACCCCTCCTTCCAACGGTGATTTTAGGAGAAAAGATCCCCAAACAACCAAACTGTGTCTCAAAAACAGGATGCTCTTTTTATAGCCGGCCTGGTTGTGTTTCACGCAAAGGGTGTTTCCCCCGCCTTCCTCCTGAGGACTCAAATCTGTGCAATTTATGGAGAGGAGGGGAAATGTTGCGTTTTGCCACTTTCTTCTTTTTTTGCAAGCACACAGTGTTTCCCGTTTCCTCGTCCACAGTGTATTTTGGTGCCTGGGGCTGCATTTACCCAGACTGGTATGTGCCACCAGAGATGCCTCAGGTGATTGTGGGAAGTTCTCACAGACGGAATGAAAGCCTTGAAGGGCAAAAGAAACAGCAGCCTCATTGACAATTTCATTTCCCAGAAGGTGGAAGAAGCAACACGGGGATCATCTGTATTGGACCCGGTCCTCACCAACGGGAAGGAACTGATCAACAAAGTGGAAGTACTGGGAAACTTGGGAGGAAGTGATCATGTCCTCTTGGGTTTCATGATACAGAGGCAAGGGAAAGTTGAGCGTAGTTGGACATGCACTCTGGACTTTAAGAAGACCAGTTTCAAAAAGCTGAAGGAGCTACTGGGTGAGATCCCATGGTCAGAAATACTCAAAGAGAAGGGAGACCAAGATGGATAGGAGTTTCTAAACGGAGAAATATTGATATAGTTTAGTTGGTTAGAGCATGGTGCTGATAACACCACAGTATTCCAGGTGTAGTCTGACCAAGGCAGAATAGAGTGGGACAATGACTTCCCTTGATCTGAACACTCTTCTTCTTCCTTGGCGATCCTTCGTAGCCAAGTAAGATTGTCTTTCATGAACGTGGTCTAAATAGTGAGTCTGTAACTGACTGTGGAGGCCAATTCTGGATCCACACTTCCTTCCACAGGCGTGACAAAGGTTTCTGGAGCAGGAGTTGATCATGGATGAGGGTTTGCCAAGCGTGCCTTCCTCTTTGCACATTTCTCCGTTTCGTCCTGAGTTCAAGTGTCTTCAAAGCCCACGACACCTTTGGTAAAGGCTGTTCTCCAATTGGAGCGCTCACAGGCCAGTTTTTCCCAGTTGCCAGTGTTTATACTACATTTCTTAAGATTTGCCTTGAGAGTCTTTAAACCTCTTTTGTTGACCACCAGCATTACACTTCCATTCTTAAGTTCGGAATAGAGTAGTTGCATTGGAAGACGATCATCAGGCATCCAAACAACGTGACCCGTCCAACAAAGTTGATGTTGAAGAATCATTGCTTCAACACTGGTGATCTTTGCCTCTTCCAGTACGCTGGCATTGTGGTCTACTAAGACCTCTAGATGCTTTTCACATATACTATTGGCAATAATAATAATAATAATAATAATAATAATAGTAATAAATTTTATTTATATCCCGCCCTCCCCAGCTGAAGCCGGGCTCAGGGCGGCTAACAACAATAAAACAGTATAAAAGTACAGCATAAACAACACTCTAAAATCATTCGTTATAAAATTAATTAATTCAAGCCACTGGCAACCATTGGGCCAGAGCTCCGCGAAGATTGCCGAGGGAGGGAGTCAGGCTGTGCCCTGGCCAAAGGCCTGGTGGAACAGCTCTGTCTTGCAGGCCCTGCGGAAAGATGTCAAGTCCCGCAGGGCCCTGGTCTCTTGTGACAGAGTGTTCCACCAGATCGGAGCCACAGCCGAAAAAGCCCTGGCTCTAGTTGAGGCCAGCCTAACTTCTCTGTGGCCTGGGACCTTCAAGATGTTTTTATTTGAAGACCGTAAGTTTCTCTGTGGGGCATACCAGGGCAATCCAGTAGCATAATACTGGATTGCTAATATTATAATCTTCAAATATCTGAAGGGCTGTCACATGGAAGATGGAGCAAGCTGCTGCTCTACAGTGCAGGACCCAAACTGTTGGACCCAAATGACAAGAAATGAGACTCTTGACTAAACATTAGGAATAACTTTCTAAGGGTCAGAGCTGTTTGACAGTGAAGTTGTCTCCCTTGGGAGGTGGTAGGCTCTCCTTCCTTAGAGGTTGTTAAGCAGGAGTTGGCTGGCCACCTGCCAGGGATGCTATAGCTGTGCTTTCTGCCTTGCAGGGGGTTGGACTAGATGACCCTTGCAGGTTCCCTTCCAGCTCTGTGGTTCTGTGATTCTATTCAGAGCATGGAAGTCAGGAGCTGGAATTATTCTGGATTTAGTGGCCATGCGTGACCTTCCACATATCCCTGAAGGAATCTGACACTGAGCATTCAGGGGGTCCAGAGAGAACAGTTGAGGGGGTGAGTTTAGACCAGGCCTAGGCAAACTCTGGCCCTCCAGATGTTTGGGACTACAATTCCCATTATCCCTAGCTAACCGGACCAGTGGTCAGGGATGATGGGAATTGTAGTCCCAAACATCTGAAGGGCCGGAGTTGGTTTAGACTCAGGATATCACCCCTCTGATGATTTGGCCCATTTGAGTTACCCTTTCATACTGGTGTCCTTGAGGTGTTTCCTACCTCCAAGAACAGTCACTTAACAAGGAATCCTCATGTTTGCCTTAGCTGAGTCCTAGGTGTGTTTACTCAAGGAATTATATTGAATTCTTGAGACTGACACACCCTGGCGAGTGTGGCTGTTCTGAGGCACTTTTTGCCATTGGGGTGTGGGAAGACCGGAGTTCTCATAATCAGGTCTGAATAACCCTTAATTGCACTTTTGTGTTTGCAGGTAGGCTTCAAACCTTTCTCTCCCTCTGCCCCTGCCCCCGCCCCCACAATAATCATTATTTGCATTAATTATGGGATGGCTGATCTCTGCCTCCACGGTTGGAGTCAGTGGTGCTTCTCAGTCCCTGTTCCCAGAAGCCACAGGAGTGGGGTGAGCAATGCTCTTGCGCCCAGGACCCGCTTGTGGGTTTCCCATAGCGGGCATCTGGCTGGCCACTGTGAGAACAGAATGAGATCTTTCTACACAAAGCATCATCCATCACATTGGCCAGGACTTCCCAGTACTCCACCTGACCAGATAAGGGCATTGGTGGCAATTACCGAAATCTTACAGATAGTTCCTCTTTCTGGGCTCTTTGTGTGTGCTCAGAGCTGTTGTCATTTTTGCTGTTGCTTCCTGCCTTCAGGGCCAAGACGGGGCTAAGATTACCCCTTTCTCCCCAGTATCTCATGTGAAGCACCACGCTAGGGTGTTGTTGTTTTTTCGGTGTGGTGCTTTCTACTTGCTTCTGCCACAAGTACACCAAATTCCCTTTTCAGCAGTCCTCATTGCTCTGAAAACGTCAAACGCTCAAGTCGATTGCCTGACTTTTTCTCTCTCTCTCGCCCTCCCTCCCACCGCTCTTCTTCTCCTTTTAAAAGAAATCCATGGCTAAAGCTGTTTGCATTAATTATTTCCAGCCTCCCAGATATGTTCCTTTTTGCAGTCCGAGGAAATAATTGGGGCAGATGTTAGCTGAGAGCTGCCTTTCCCATGCTTGGGAAGGAAAGGAGGAGGGAGAGAGAAAAAAGGAAAGCTTGCGTTGGAATTAGATATTTGCAAACAACTGTCATATCTAGGTCACTTGGATATGGTGGAGTGGAGGGGTGGGGGGGGGAGGAATAAAATCCTTGGAAGAAAGACATTATGGGTGGGTATTTTTTTCAAATTTTCTGCAGATCTACAGCCGTTTGGGGCTGTCAGGTTGGAGGGTGAAGGGAGTGGGGTTGTGCGACAGCCGTTTCCGCCCCCCCCCCAACCCACCAGCACGCTTGTCTCCTTGCCTGTCTCACCACTGGTTCCATTGTCAATAATGAGTCAGCCTCCGAGGAAGATTAAAATGAAAGGGAGCTGCAATCTCTGTTTTAGGGGTTTTGTGTTTTCTGAGTGCCCTGGGACACAGCAGGAGGTAGGTATCCCTTTGGCTTTAGAGGAGAATTTATTATTATTATTGGTGGTAGTAGTAGTAGTAGTAGTAGTAGTAGTAGTAGTAGTAGAATTTATGTATTCATCCCCTACCACCAGGAGAGGCACCAATGTTAATACATTGAGCATACAGACGGCTCAACAGCAGCAACATAGATTGTTAGAATTGTAGAGTTTGAAGGGATCCCAATGGTCATCTATTCCAACCCCTTGTAAATGCAGGAATCGTTTTGCTCGTTGTGGGGCTCAAACCCACAACCTTGAGATTAAGCGTCTCATGCTCTACCGACTGAGCTATTCCAGGGATGCAGTTATCCTTGTTGCTGTTATTGCCATTAATTTATTAATTGCCTTCTAAACCACATTCTCAATGTGATTTACACATAAAATAGTTTTAAACCAGGAAATACGTGGTAAAGACCCATTTATCCATGAAAACCTGATGGGACAAAAATCTGTCCCACTTCTTCTAGTGAGTGCAGATAGTGGGCACTTGCAGTATCTCAAACAGGAACGCCATTCCACAAGGCAGGGGCAGCCACACTAAAAGCCCTGCTCCGAGTTACTGCAAAGTTGGCTCCTGAGGTCTTTGGAGCTTGCAGGAGAGACTCTCCCACAGACCACAGCGATTCACTGGGTGCATAAAGGGATAAGGCTCTCTCTCAATCAACCTGATTTGTTTAGGGCCTTGTATGTTAGTAACAGGGGACACGGGTGGCGCTGTGGTCTAAACCACTGAGCCTCTTGGGCTTTCCGATCAGAAGGTTGGCTGTTCGAATCCCCGCAACGGGGTGAGCTCCCATTGCTCGGTCCCTGCTCCTGCCAACCTAGCAGTTTGAAAGCACGTCAAAATGCAAGTAGATAAATAGGTACTGCTCCAGCGGGAAGGTAAACGGCGTTTTCATGCGCTGCTCTGGTTCGCCAGAAGTGGCTTAGTCATGCTGGCCACATGACCCGGAAGCTGTACGCTGGCTCCCTCGGCCAATAAAGCAAGATGAGCTCCGCAACCCCAGAGTCGGCCACGACTGGACCAAGCAGTCAGGGGTCCCTTTACCTTTCCTTTTTATGTTAGTAACAACACCTTGAACTTGGCCCGGTAGCAAATTGGCAGCCATTGCAAGTCCTGTAAGCAAGGGGTTTTGCCCCTTACCAGCTTTTGCCCCTGGCCCTGCCCACAGCTGCCATGTGGCCCTCAAGAGATTGATGGAATTGGACCCTCTGACTGCAAACGTTTCCTCTCTTTCTAATCTGCAACCCCCTTGGGATGTTTCTTGAGTCACAGCCCCTCTGCATGCTTCTGCAGTGGAGCTCCTCACGCCACGAATAGCAGGCCCCTGCAGCTTTCCTACCTGGCCCACCAGCCCCTCTTTGGTGCCTTAATTAGTCACTGAACAGAGGAAGGAAGGAAGGAAGGCTACCTTCAGGGGTTGGACTAGATGACCCTCGGAGGTCCCTTCCAACTCTACAATTCTGTGATTGTATTAATACACTATTGTATGCTGGAGCCTCTAGACATTTGGGACTTCCAAGGAAATAATCGGGTCGGGGCTGCTGCACGTTCCCCTCGCTCCCCACCCCTCTTTCTTTTCCCATCTGGGCTTTCCCCATCTCTTGCTCTCCCCTTTTTTGCAACAGGTTAGGAGTGTGGGGATTAATGATGAATTAAATTCTCGTTTACAAAACCGTAATCCTGCTTGATCATTTTTGTTCAGCCCTCACCTTTTCGCTCTTAAAATTCAGCGCACTTAAACTGTTCTGCAAGGGTTTATGAATGTTTAAAAATTGCTTTGTTGGTCCCCGAAGTAATTTGACAAGTCTGTCAGCTATTGATTAAAAAAGAAAAGAAAAGAAACTACCTGGAATTATTCAAGGATTGGGATGACTTGGGGAATTAGATAGAAAGTGTAAGGGAGCAGGGAGGGGCGTTATTCCAAATGCGAAAGGAAGTAAGATGTTGGAGAGTAAATATGTTCTAGAAATGCTTTCTGAAAAATCCATTATGGCTGTGAAATTAACTTGAAATGAGATGCTCATCAAGGGTCTTCTTGAGGGTGAGGTGGATGGGCCGGTTCTGTTCATGTACTGTGTTCAGAATGGACCCAATGCACAGTTAAAACTATGGCATTTGCTCCCCCAGGAGGCAGGGATGGCCAACAACTTGGATGGCTTTAGGATTGGACCGTGGGCCTCATCCTGCAGGCTCTTCTTAGGTTCTTATGTTCTTATGACCGGTTCTGAAGAGGCAGCTGCCACCCTTCTGGGCCAAAGGAAGGAGCCCCCTTGTGTGCTCCTATAAGACAGCTAAGTGACAGGAAAAAGGACGATGGTGATAAAATGATGTGATACAGTAAAAGCACAGGTGGAGTTTTTCTCCGTCAGTGGGGCGGGGAGAATTGACCAGTGAAAGGAGCTGCAGGGAATTCAGGAGCAGACCAAAGGGTTTCTTCCACTGTGCTTAACGGACTTAAGGAACTCACTGCCACAATATGTGCATTAGTCACTATTTAAGCTTAGATGGCTGTGAAAGGCAGATGAGGCAATATTCAAGGAGGATCAGTCTCATTAATTGGCTTCTAGTCATCAAGGACCAGCTAGTCCAGCATTCTCGTCTCACAGTGGCCAACCAGATGCAAGCAAGATTTGAGCACAAGACTAGCACTCTGTCCTCGCGTGGTTTTCAGGAAGCATCGCTGCCTCCAACTTCTTGGTTTAACTCTTGAATTCTGGTTGCAGGGAAGCAGCCTACGGCGAGGCAAGACACTCACTTTTGTCCCCTGGTTGTGGGCTTCTGGGCCTGGCATTTGGAGGGTGGGTAAGCTCTGGCCATCCAGATGTCTTTGGACTGCATCTTCCATTGTCCTTAGCCATTGGCCATGCTGGCTGCTCAGCTGGGAGGGCCCCAGTTTCCCTGCCCTTTCCGTCTAACCCATCACAGCTCTTTTGCACTTAAGGAGATGATGAGTATCTGGAGCAATTAGCAGATGCAGCCCAGTGCCTATCAACTCCGACTTAATTCAGACATTGCAAAATCCGACCTTGAAGATCAGGAACATTTCATAAGCCTTTGCATGCTCCTTCTCTTGCCTCCCTCCCCTCTCTTGCAGGTTCTACTTTTCCTTTCCAGACTTGCAGCAACCACAAGTTTGCTCAGACATCCAAATAGAACTGCAGGCATGAGCTGGAAGTTGCTTGCAAGCCATAGTTTACAAACCTAAGCTCTGACTTGGTTGCAGCTTCTGGCTGGCAGATTTATTTGATTCTGACAAACTTTGGTTATTTGCTTATTCTTCTGCCCTGAACTCTTGGTGTTGGATGCTGGAGTTACCAGTAGCATCTAGGCATTGTCTAAAACCACATGTAGGCAGCTTGCTTTTCAGCAAAGTTGCTGCATCGTATCCTCTCAGTTTGTACTACTTGCCTAATACTGGCCTCCTTTGCAGGGGCGTTGTGAAGATAGTTGCGATAATTCCAGGGCCTACCATAGCGTGCTGTGTCACAGAACCGCTTGTGTGATGTGGTTGGATATTTGCAAGTTACTTTGGCCTCCTAGAAGCCTTTATCTGTTCAACTGCAATGAGTTTGCCTGTTGTGTTCCTGTGTGATTCTCTGTTCTTCCAACTGTGCCGTCTTCTCCTTGGGGATTCAGCTGTGCCTCTCTTGCATCCAAGTGACAGGCTGAATGCACAGATGCTTGTTAACTTCCTGTCCTGAGATGGGGCTACCCTTTGCAGCTCTTCACAATTGTTGTTCTTGGTTTGCTTCCATCCAGCTGGATGAACTTTTTTCAATGCAGGAAACTGCTGCTGCTGCTGCTTTGGACCTCAGCAGTAGTGTGCCATGGCACTTGGAAGGTTATGGGGCGGTAAATGGAGCAGGTGGTCTTCCTTTCACCTCAACTTCTACTTAATGCTTTGGAGGTGGCAGAGATTGACTTCTGCACCCTGAGCAGGTGTTCTGCCACTGAACTGTGGCCTTCTCCCAACTTTGTGGCTTCTGAGATTTCCTTAAGGCCATGCAGACTTCCCACCTGTCACCTTTTTCACTCCTGCTGAGCTCTATAGCAATGTTTGCAAAGAGGGAAGAGTCACAAAGCATCGGTAGGACAGGGAATGGTATGTAGAAGTGGAGCAATGCCTGGAAGGTGCGTTGCATTTAGCAAGTGAACAAACAGGGAGAGTTTCACGCCAACAGGCCCATGTCTTGTCTTTGGACAGTGGGGTCACCACACACTGCATTGCAGGCCACTTTCTTCGCTTCCTGCTCTTTTGCCTCAGGTGGGATGGCAAAGGACACCAGGTGGGGTGTCTTCTGACCTCTGCTGACATCCACTGAGGTGGATGAGCAAATTCCCCCTCCCCAACTTGGGGGCTCTCTTGCACTGTCTGAAGCAACATTTCTCTGATTTTCCAAATCAAAACGTTTTCTTTGCATGCCTGCAAATATTTTATTTTTAAAGCAGAGCAGAGAGGAAGTACAATCGGCCCTCTGTGGAGCATCCCTCCCCATCTCAGTTTCCACCTTACTCACTGCGCTGAGCAAAGCCTTGCTGAGTCAGGCCAAAGGCCCAAACAACTCAGCATCCTGTTTCCCCGCAGTGACCAGCCAGGTGATGTGAGCGCAGTAGCCCTCTCCTGCTTTTCTTTCCCCAGCAGCTGTTATTTAAAGGTAGACTGCCCCTGAATCTGGAGCTTCCCCAAAGCCATCAATAGGCACCAGTAGGCCTCTCTTCCTCCATGCATTCAATTTGATACTAGGGAATTAAATATTTAAAAACTGCCAATATCATAATGTACTACGAGTCAATGGTGCTAAGTTCGATTCTAGTCACCTTGCCTCAAAAACGATATTGTTGAGTTGGAAAAGCTTCAGAAAGGGGATGGAGGGACTCCCCTATGAGAAAAGGTTGCAGTGTTTGGTAATTTTTATTTTCCAAAATTGTTATTGATTTCCCACATTTATCACAAAAATGACCCAACAAAACACAAAACAAAGAAAAACACATTACACTGCAGTAAACTAAACACAAAGAAAAATTATTTCTTCAAATACCTAATTCTCATTACATTGATAACTGACTTCCTCAAGTCCCCTGTAACTGAATTTCATTATATCACCTGTATAGCAGTTCTCCAAATTCATATTTCTAGCATTTGGTAATTTTTAGATTGGAGAAAAGGCGGATAAGAGATGACAGGGCGTGGAGAAAGTGGATAGTGAAAAAGTTTTCTCCCACTCTTGTAACACTTGGACTTGTGGAAGATTCAGGACAGGCAAAAGAAAGTCCTTCTTTAATGGCTACTAG